CGCCAAATGTACCAGCTCACCTGTGGTGTTCTTGCCCCTAAATTTGAATAATTATATGAAAATCTGAAGGTGAGAGTTCAATGAAGCCGAATGTCGGAATCGATGAAAACTGACATCCGTGGCCTCCTGCAGAATGCCAAATTAATTTCAAAATCAAACACTTCTTCCAAAAAAGACAGGTTTTGTTGCCATCAATCGGAAAGTTACAATTGGAATGCAAACGTAGTTATTAAAATGTTTATTTTTGCATGGCTTTGGGTCTCCTCGCCCGTGAAACAATATACGTTTAGAATATGGAGGCAAATTAGAGCTGTGAAAACAATATAAAAGATTTTCCTTGTACTGTACATGGGGTCAAATTCAGCCCTAGTTAAAAAGTACCTACGTTTCATAATCACTTAATTAATATTATAAAACTCATCGCTCAGGCACATCGTTTGATACGTTAAACTGTTTTCTAGCCGTATTACAATATGTGTCGATCTTCTACCACTCCGAAGTGTAGTCCATCGAAAAAATGATTATCAAAAGTCGTTCTACGCACTAGGTACCACCCCTGAGAGATAAATCTCGTAAATATTTTGTAACGTTACACAAATGTATCACGAATTATAAGCGACATATTTAATATTAATATCCTAAATACACTATTTTGTTCTGTATAAAAGTGAACAAGTCAAGTCAAAGAAGTAATCTTAACAGTTCATTTTACGTGATTCGTGACATTTTGAAGCTTTGGAAGAAATATTTAATTTTTCGTTCCATCATTTATTTGTCGTGTCTACTAAACCTGCCAAATTATACATTCTTTGGTATAAAAGAGACATGCACAAACTCTGGGAGATTAAATTTCCTATATGAACGTCCATTTTTCTATCTGAAGCCTGGCTAACAATTTACGCGAAACCAGGGCTAACTTAAAATAAGACATTTCACAGTTTTCATCTTGAATTATATTATGGGACACCTGGGAACTCTAATGTGGAGGGCTGAAATGGCAAATTTAAATTACAAAACACAAAAATAATAACAACAACAATAAGTTGGCGCTGTTCAGTTTCACTTACAGTTTCCCGGATTCCAAGTTCTGCCTCGGATGGATGCTGTTGTGTCCACTGTAGTCACTTCACTTCACACACATTAATAATCACAATGATCGTATATTTAAATGCGTCGTTAGACATAGTTCAAAAATGTCCGGCTGCAGAACAGTATCACAAATGTATTTAAATACAAATACTGCAGCAAAATTAAAGTCTCCACACCACAACGAAATTATCATTACTTTGAAAACTCTTAAAAATGTCCACAGAAGTTAATTTCATCTGCAGAACCCTATTACTCACGCTAGTAAACCCCATTACACATAATTTTGGTTCAGAACAACGCGATAATTAAGCCTCATAAAATGTGAAGCGCCATTTGGAATCTGCCTGCCTTCCTACCTGCCTCGAAATGTCACTGTTCATTTGGTAATTCCAAGTGCCAAGTTAAAAGTTACAGGTTGAAGTGGGTCTACTACAAAACGATAGTTCCGGCGAATTGAAACAAGCATAATACGTTTGTCCAAGATGCCACTGTGAACTGTATAGCAATGCTTCATACACCTCTGCATTCCTGGTGTTCTTACCGCGCCATTATCACCCACAATTATTTTGGCCTACAATTCTTCACGAAACATGTCAATTACATTTAATTATACTGGTTACAAGTAATCACTATTACTACAGAGAACTTATCAGACTGCAAATGAAACTTACAATGATAGATTAACGAATCACATTACAAACACAAGAACAGAAAACTGAAGACAGCCAGAGGGTTAGACGGCCCCAGACTAAACTTGAGGGAAGTGACGTAAGCAGATAGAGTCGATCCATGGAGTCAAATTGAAATCGAGTGCATCATACGATAGGGCAAAAGCGAATAAAGATTACCGGTGGCCTAGGATACTCAACGGTCGTGGTGGGGTGGTTGGGGGGTGAGTAGAAGGTGAACTGTTGTCCTTGCGCCCCACTCCCCAGACGGACTCTGCCGAGTCTGGGTACAGTTGTATGCATTTTCACCGACAAGCTTGTTTAGCGACTACGCTACTTTATGCTTCCAGTTGGTATTATCTGTGTTTGCAACTGTAGTCATTAGAGGCACATACAGAGTGCCCCGTGACGTATTCTTGACATTACACTAAATTCTCACAAAATTGTACTCTCTATCAGATTTTATAATGTAATACAATTTGGAATCTACATTTGCCACAGCTTTTAGCCAGATGATATTCACAATCTTTGAAATAAAACAAATCTGGAAAACATTGTCCCTTGAAATCAGTCTTTCCGACAACTTAAGACGTCAAAATATGAAGAAGGCTTGCTTATATCAGGTTTTACTCAAAGTCCTTCGGCTTTCCTACTAAACATCATTCCATAATTGCTCCATATTCGCTCCCATGAAGAGTGCAATAGCCCTCACAAGTCAGGGCATTAATCTGTTCCTCTTAGGGGCTTTATCTCTGACCTGGCACTTGTCTGGTTTCGGACAAAACGTAGTTTTATACAGAATGTTCAATTAAAACGAAACCCTAACTGCCAAACATGAACACCTTGACTTACAACACGACGAAAAATACGGCAATATTGAACTCTTGCAGGTGATGCACTGCTTGAAATCGGCACTACCGTAATTTCAGCTGCTTTGTGGCTCGATAAGCACCTGTCACAAACACTTCATGTGTCCCAAAATTCTGTTATCAGTCCGTGTATTGTCTTATGAATTGCTAAATGCTTCACAAACAGCAGCAAACGATCTCGATGCAGAGTAAAGTTTGAGGATGAAAACACGTTCTTCTTTTGAGTAAACCATATATTTGCATTTTCACAGATTTTGTGCAACTCTGTTGAGCAGCGGTCCAGCAATAGAAATTACTTTGACTCGAGTATCACGAAGGAAGTTCGGATAATCTATTACGCTTGAGTACACTTGTCTCTGATTTAATTATTGTGCTGTACTAAGTGATTCTTGTTTTGAATGGTATATCCTTTATTTTATACCAACCTTGGAGACCAGTTGCTTGAACAGACCCACAATGACGGACTATGTTCATGTTGCAGCTCTGTTCGTGCTGTACCCGTACTTGACAATCCACATGAGAGAACTGGGAATCAATGTGGAGGAAACAGCCATAATGTCGGCCGTGACACCCGTCGTGGCCATCGTGATGCCGCCTGTAGCTGGTATGGTGGCAGACCGAATAGGGAACTTCAGGGTGAGACTTGGTGTTGCCACATCCTAAAAAATGATTTAAAAACAATGAGACAAAACAGAACGAATGAAGATAACTCTTCTGCGCCGTGCAGTCGTAAAAGTTTACCGAGATTCAGGGGTGTTCGCTCTCTCCATATCCAGGGCGATAAGCACTTCTGAAACGTCAGTAAACTCTAACCAGACTACACGGCATATCTTCATACACGCCGTCATAAGAACTTCAAACGTCACAATACACAACAATTTTATTTTCTGACCCTTATTATTTCTTGGGCCAACTATGTTACCTAGGAGAGTTTTCTGACTAAATCTTAGTTCTTTACAACACAGTTCACAGCAGCATCGAGTATGATAAGGAGGTAAGTAGATAGAATGAAATGGCCACAGTCTATTTTAAGGTTATATTCGCCGGAGAAGACTAATGCCTGAGTTTCTTCAGCTACAATTTATAAACCGAATACATCACACAGCGTCAAACAAACAAAAAATATAAACGGTGACTCGATAATAACAAGTCGTGGCCTAATTGAGGCGACATTAATGAATTCGCCGAAAGGATAAATAAAACAATGAAACATCCCAGTGACAATAACCAGATTTCGAGTCAAGAACTGAACCCAGGACTAAGAAGAAGTGATAATCGCTAGACAGTGACAGAGGAAATTAGTGAAAAGAACTCAAGAGAAGGAATAGCAGGACCTGCGAAATGAACTTAAAATAAAACGCTGTTGTCGAATGGGAAAAACCAAGCTCTTATATTTACGCAGACGTAAGCAAACACATATTTGAGACATTTGAAAGGTGAGTTTGTAAATAACTACGTAAGAATTCTTCATTCAGTCGAGACTAAAGGTTATATCTCTGGCTCGTGAATTGAATAAACACGGACTTGAAATATTTTAACACAGTAGCTATCATGAAGATGGCATTAGTGTCGTTCCCAGCTAGTACGTTTTTACGGCCGCTATGATGGTAGCATTGGGGACAGGAAATAGAAAGCACGAAGGCCAATTAGACATTACTGGCATTAAATTCATACCAAGTATAATGGCAATCTGTCTGTTGGTTCAAACGTTATTAGGCAACTCGAACACGGACATGATGATACCACAAGAATCTCTCTCATAAAAAAGGAAGAAAAGAAGTGCGTTAAAAGTTTGTAGACGAAATAAAAAATGTAAAATATGCAATGTTTATTATAAGCATTTTCCAAGGCCTCAGCTCAGTGCATATTGTCGGACTGTAAGGCTGTGAGCAGCGCAATTTTTCTGCACGATTATACGACCTCAAATTGTGCACATCCTTGACCAATTTCTCCCGAGGTCAATCAGTTAGAAGGTGTCAGCATTAAATTGTAATTTGTCTGCAAAAAATCACCAACACAGCCAGTGCTTCAAAAAATGCTCATCAAAATGTGGCAATTAAACAATGCTTGAGGTTATTATTATTATTTATTCTCTTATCACAGATTTCTCTTTTCCTGATATTTTTCCTCTTGAATCAATGGTGAACCGCACCATTCAGACTTATTATTTGAGCTATTATAGGTCTTTGCTAGCTCAGCGACTCTCAGCTTCTCAAAAAATGACTATTGAATGGAGTTTTGTCATTGAAGCTCAGATACGGTACTGTCTGCGGGCTGGAAGCCAATAATTAGATTCCCGATAACAGCGCGAAAGTCTCTTTTCACCGCCACATCCAGACAGGCTCTGACGACCTCCTACCCAACGAGTACTGATAATAATAGCGGCCGGAGCATGAAGCTGACCACTCATATCTAGTGCCGTGGATAGAACGAATGTAGCTTCACCTCTACGTCACTATACGCCTATCCGAGGATTCGGACGTCTGTCGGTGGGAAACCAGGGCAACGATTAATAAGTGAAATTTCTTTTGTTCTTCACTGATGTTTTTATCCCCGGCTGCACACGTCCATTATGGGAAGTAACTGAAGTTACTGCTGTATTACAGGCTGATAATCGCACAGGGGAGAACGTGGTCGTCATACAAACGTCCCCAAGGTGGGGCGTCACATTCACATGACCTAGTTAAACACTTCTGGTTGCATAGGGCTACTTGCACAGGTATATGTCACCGATGCCACAAAGTACATTTGCTGAATATGGCTAGCTGAGAGACAAATCAAAATAACGATATTCTGTGAGCTCTTCCTTCAGTCCTTAAAATGGAGAATGGAGACTGTAGGTTTAACCAAAACGTCGGCATTTACTTAACGAGTCTACGTTGTCACAAACAAGAAGGACATCATCATAGTCATTGTCAGTGCCGTAAAAATCCCAAATCTCAAATCAAAACAATTTATTTTTCCTACTCACATCAAAACTACTCTTGGGATATCACTGCGATAGAGGCTCGTTGTTATCTATGATGCTGATGGCCATGATTCTCCCATTTGGACAGATAATGTCTCACAAAAAATTGCGTCCTCCGAATAACAATAAAATTCCATTCTATGGCAACAAAAGTCTGGCGGATACTGATCTACCCACGCCATGGGCGGAGGCAGGGCACATTATATAACTGATTTCCAGGAAGAAACGTCAGGTGAGGGCATAAGAGACGAGTTGAACGGATGCAGTTTTAAATTTTCTTTGCTGCTTTGCATATTTCATTGGACACGTTCTTTACAAAAAAAATGTATAAAATGGAGAAAATATCAGTATCGCGTCCGTCGTACTTAACGGATTTCAATGAAATTTAATATCGAGCGAATTAGAGTAAACGTTGTCGGGCTAATGTATTTTTAATGTATATTTCTCCAATATGATTCTTGCTGTTCGCCTATCGTGTATGAAACTCAAATCAAACTTCGACTTCCTTAAAAGTTGCTCAATGTAACAAAAATTTGTGCATGTCAATAAAAATTAATCTAGTTTAATTTAAACTTCTGTTAAACATTCAAGGAAATTGCTTAACGAAATAAAAGGGAATATTATTTTGATTTTAGGGCGAACAGTTTTGCAGATATAAATTTGTAATACCAAACTCTAACGGAATGAACTAAGGCAGCCATTTATGTATTTCTGTTGCCGAATAAAATTCACTTTTTACATAATGGACGCAGAATAATGCGGTAAGACATGACAAGCACGTTACTGGTTGAAAAATAATAACTGGTTTGACAATTTAAGGAAATACTCATTCAATAATTTGATTTTGCTTTTTATTAGTGGCGATAGGGTACAGAAATAAAGACAAACAACGTTTGTCCTATTTCAGATCAATCACTGAGATCACGAAATTCACTATAGTTCTCTCTTTTAAGCTTCGTGCCAGCAATTAATAGTAGTCAACGCCAATAAGGACTGAATAATAGCAATACATGTATTTATAGAAATATGTATTCCAATGTGTACACCACTCTTTTTTGTCAAAAGCACACATTACCGAGTTACGTTACGGCTGACTACAAAGTTAAACAAGTCAGGATATGGCGAGTTACATTCGAGTTGCGCATTCAGTCTCCGTTGTTCCTTTGTGATTTAAATACAAATTGGAATGTGTCGACAGATTTTATCAAAGGCGCGCAACATCAAATTTGATGAAAATCAATCTGATCCAATCTACTTTTCTATATTTGTTACATTTTTACAGAACGACGGACAAACATGGTGATGATATCTTAACGATATATTGTCTTGACTTTGGAGAGTGGGGGTGGCAGTGAGTTCGAAATAATGTAGGACATACTGAAAATATACGGACTGAAACGAATAGAAATCCAACAGATGAATCCTTGCGACCGGATAGATAGTTCCTGTTTTTTGATGTTTAACTTGCTGTTGGGCTGTGCCACCATTTGAACGTTTCAGAGAACTGTCATCAGCCTTGATGATAGAGGCAGTATGGTCCTCTGAAGCGTAACCATCAAGCCAGATTTTCACAGCGGTGAGTATGAAGATTTCTGTCTTCTGAGTTGTTGCACCGTGTAGTCTGGTCGATGTTAACCAACGTTTCAGAGGTCATACTGCCTCCGTCATTAGGGTGATGACCTCTGAAACGTTGGTAAACATCTACCATACTACACGGCGCAACAACTCAGAAAACAGAAATCTTCAAGTCATCTTCTGCACGGTGAAAGCACCGAAAAGCAGATTAAAAATCAGCAAAGCGCCACAGAGTACGGGTTGTTTCCGCAGATTCTGCTGTCAATTTTCTCGTCGCTGGGAGGTGCAGCTTCGCTACTCCTACTCCTAGTGCCTGTCGGTCGAGTGACTGTAACGTATCCCGAGCGCGTGATTCTCGACGTGGGATGCAGCGTGGAACAGGACAGGAACTTACACCTGGGATTGAGCCGGGATCCGCCGTGTACCTTCGTGCCGGCTTTCAGCGATGGAAAGATACACCAGGTGAGAAATGAACGTCGTAAACGAAAAATTATACGAGTAATAATGTGACTAAACAGGGACACGACGTAGATATAAGTAATCTATTCTACACTAGTATAAACGCTCATACGCATGAACATAATGCGGCAACGTAAACCTATACACAATGTTGCCCGTTCAGAGAATTGTTTAGTAAGTTATAAACTTGGTGTAATCGTAAGTTCCTGACCGATTAAACTATGGACATATATATTAACTTTGTAGCACTAGTTTTGATTATAAAAAATATTATTTTCTAATTACTTGCTGACGTAGCTGCCCAAAGGCCAAGTAAAAAGTAAGGACAAGTTAATAAAAAGAGAATAAACAGACAAAACAAGAAAAACAATCAAATAAGTATATATATACATATGCATATAGCAGAAGGACAATGTTTAATTGAAGAGTCGATATTGAACGTAGAAAAGTATTTGAGATACGTATTGGGTGTTCGAGGATCAATGATTTTCAAAAGGCAAGGTCAGAATTTAAAACGAATGTAAATTTCAGTCAGGAGTAGTGCATCAATGTAATGCCTTCTTTTTGCTTGAGGTGTGGAGTTTCAAACACAAAGGCCTGAAAACTTCTGCTGGATACGTTTCAGTTTTTTGGCATCAGTAACAGAATTCCGAACAGAGGCGTATTCAAATTTTAACCCAACTAAAATAAAATGTAATACATAAACGCAGGAAAGAACATAAAAATGTTGACGTGCGTACAAAATCCAACAGCAACATGATTAGGACTATGGAAACAAAGTTTAGAACCAAGAAATACTCACAGGTCTTCAACAGTGTCGGCGCGAGTTAGAGGATTGACAGAGTTTATGATCGCAGGTCACTGAATTACTTTCCTTAAGAAAAAAAAAGGTTTTTATAATATCGAGTATAATTTAGTAAGCGGCGCACTAACGCTGTGCAGAATCAATGTCATTTGTTTGGAGATATAATGATACTGAAAAATCTGACATCAGCAAAAGGAAGCGGCTTATATCCCTTACTTAAGTTACGCAATCAATTAACAAATATATTAAAAGATACTGAAGAGAATTTAATTGAAACTTAAAGTAATGTGAAATATGGCCGTCAATAAAAAGTTTGGAAAATTACTAATAATAGAAATTGGTATGTAGCTGCTAACAGAGGCACAATTGTCGATTGCTTCCGCACGGTAGGAAAACGTTTTTGGGACAGGCTTAGATTGAAGATGTATTTGAGAACAGGAACAAAGACCTCAGAACAAACCTGTTACAAAGCCAAGAAAGTTATCAAGTCCGACGGAAAAAATTATATATACAACACGATACGTAAGATTCAATAAGATAAGTTAACATAAGATAAATTAACAAAGCAAAACACAACATAATATTATATAACCGCTTCTCTCAGGTGGAGACAACCCTGGAGGCCTGCGGATTCATTTGCGAGTCAGTCACGGGAAGCCAAGTAACTCCAATATCACTCTTAACAAATGACGAACAAGACATGTCACAACGCATCCTCCGGACTCAACGCTATGACGTTATGATTAGTAGCGATTTCCCCAAGAACGCGAAGGAGATATACTCCTATGCACTCACATCGGAACAAATGCCGTCAGTCGACGAGGACAGGGACTTGAGGAGCCACCGCTTCAGGAAGAACAATGACTTCTACCAAACCTCAGTTAGAAACATTTCAAACAACTCGTTCTTCTTTCCAACCACCGGACTCTATAACCTCTCGTGTGTCATTGCAAACACGACGTATAAGTGTCAATTTGGCAACAACGCTAGTGTGGAAGAAGGAGTGTCGAGGATCCAGACGTCCAGACATCGATTCAAGACAAGCCTACTTCTCGCTAATACGAACGCCACAGACAACCTATTCCTAGCAATGGGGATAAAAAACTGGGCTGGTGTGTCCAAGAAAAAAATGAATGCGACATGCAGTGATGCATTCACTCAGGTAAGCACTATTTGCCCTTTATCTTGAAACACAACATGAACAGCGTGCTACTGGAAACCATCTCATCTGTAACGATAGAATTACCCCTGTTCTTAATTGAGCACGTAAGGGCGAGTAGAAATGGGTCTGTAGTTCTACGTATTAGATAAAGATGAGTCAGCTTCACCTCCGGCTACTTTACCCCTGGGGAAAGAGCCAGCAGTGTCCATCGGATAACAGGCTGAGTCCAAGACCTTTAGCGAAGAAAATAGGTGTTCCTGCCGGGAACTAAATCCCTGTCTTCCAGCCTCTATCCTAGCCACCATGTTGACTGTGCTAACATGCTTCCCCTCTTCGTCATCAGGGTTCTTAACTGTCTTCATGCTTTTCTATTACGAAGTGGTCTAAAATATTATTTCCAAGCATAAAGCTATTACAAACTGAAGTGCCATTGCTTTGTGGAGTTATAGAACGGTCAGAAAGTGGGGAGCTAATGGATTGCATTGTTATTTTGATTCATCAGAACGTGAAGTGTCGATGTGTCGTATTGTTACAGGACGGCCGCAAAGTGAGTATATCAATACCGCTGCTGGAGTCGAATGACACAGTGCAGCTGTCCAATTGCCGGCCTCGGTGCCTGCTGACGGCGCCGCGGACAGACGTCTGCTCAAACCTCGAAACAGAAGAGGTATATGACATCCGATTGACATTCTGGAGCTACCTGGCGATCAGGGTGTTCATCGGCATGATCGGAGGGACGGCCTTCGCTATGTTCGAGGGCGCGGTGATCGCGATCCTGAGGGAGCAGAGCGCAGACTACGGACTGCAGCGAGTCTACGCCACAATCGGCGGCATGATCAGCTCCCCGTTATCTGGGATGATGATCGACTACGCGAGCAGAGGCAAGGGATACACTGACTTCAGGTAACTTGAAGGCGATGGATTGCCTGTGCAGTCTGGTATAAATTTACGAGCGTCTCAGATGTGCTTCCTACCTCCATCACGAGGCACTCATCACCCTGATGGAGGCAGCAAGCACGTTTGAAACGTCGGTAAAATATTAGACTACACGGCGTAACATCCCAGAAGACGAGAGAAGCTGATCTCACATTCAGGTAACTTGTTCACTTAATACAAACTCCACGCATTCTACACTTCGGCAATAGATGAGGGCGAGAGGTAAGATTAGCGATTTGATCGTTTCGCCCCCGTGCATGGGAGGCTGGGTGGCTAAGATAACAATCCCCACTGGGAATCAAACTTTGGCTATCAAATCTTTAGCCCCGATGTTGTATGACATAAAACATCATATCTTTCGAATTTATAATTTTCACATCATGTATTTCTGATAGGCCATTAATATGCATTTAACGAAACACAAGAAAAATAATCACGCCTTTCATGTGTTGAAATACCTCAACACTTGTGACTGTATGTGTCGATAACAGAACCCATGTATCTATACAGTTTGTACCTCTAATGTTACACAGGCCGGCCTTCTACCTGTACGCTGGTCTCAAAATTGCCAGCGGTCTGCTAATGCTCACAATCAACTTGGAATTCAAGTCGCCCGCAAATAATGTTGTATCTGACGTCGTGTCTGTGATGAGGAACATCGAGCTAGTGGCCCTCTTCATCGCCATCTTTGTGCTGGGTTAGTAACTACATTCAGCCCCAACCTACAGAAAACACGACTCATTTTTTAGTCAAAGAACAGGTTAATTAATGATATATGTTTTTCTGAAGGAGGTGAAAAATCGATGTCGGGTTGCACTTGTAGGTCTCTTCCGAAGTTTCGGCGAAACATACCATCTATGTTTTCAGCCCTTCAACCCTGAAAATAGAGGCAGTAATTTCCACCAAAACGCTGGTTACCTCGAAGGTTAATTAATGTTGAGGAAAAATTGCTGTTTATTATGAGAACCAAAGAAAATACATAACTTACATTTTGTGGGTGAAATGCAGCGTAACTAAGATCAGATCGTACAATATAGAGTCGCCACTGCCTTGTAAGGAGATGAAACATACAACTTGTTTGTAGACGTACTTGCATTGTATTCATGTAAGTCTGGGTAAATTTGTAGAAGCAGTTGTTACTAAACAAACCAATTTTTTAGGATAATGGAAAACACGCGACTGCTGTAAATATTCTGGTCAATTAACGAAAACCTGAGTATCGTTTGAAAGTTACAGTAACATGTTCTGAACCCTTCAGGGACGGCGTGGGGCTACATCGAGAGCTTCCTCTTCTGGCTGCTGCAGGATTTGGGAGCGTCTCGCTCTCTTATGGGGATAACGATAACAGTCGGTGGCATCGCTGGGATTCCCCTCCTCGTGCTCTCTGGTCCAATCATCGACAAGATAGGACACGCTAATGTTCTGTTCATTGGCTTCATTTTCTACGCCATCAGACTTCTTGGTAAGTGAAAATACTTCAAGGTGAGTCAGATTTTAAAACGTGTACACCCCTATGGTTATTAATAGTGAGCTTCTGGGTGTAGCATCGAATATACGGCGTCATGACCCAGAAGACAGCCATCTTCGAAAATAAAATTCCTCTAAATTGTTTTGAAGACCAACCCCTCTGTGTGTCGCAGGGTACTCTCTGATCTACAACCCTTGGCTGTGTCTCATTTTCGAGGCAATGGAGAGCGTGACATCATCATTATCTTTCACTGCGGCAGTCACATACGCTGCCAAGCTGTCAACTACAACCACCGACTCCAGCATACAGGGACTGCTAGGTGGTCTCTACTTCGGCGTCGGTAAGAGTTTGCTTGATTTGGTTAAACATGACGTCTTCTTTTCGACACGCCAACATTTTCTTCCGGCTGCAGATATATAGATAGAGTTGTGGCATAGTTTCTGCAGGAAACACTTTTGACGTGGCTACGACGGTCCGCATCGGAACTCGGTAAACCGGTCTGACATTTTATTTTGATTGCACGTTATAGCTACTAAATTAGGTATTTGCTGTAGATATGGCGACTCGAATAAAAAACATGGAAACCTTCTATTTAAAAATTATAAATGTCTTCCAGTTCGAAATCGTGTGTTGAATGTCGATTAAAACTGTAAAACTGAGGAAAGGAAATGTTTATTTCTCTCAGACTGTAAAATTACTTACGGCGTTAAGTAGCCTGTCATTGGTGCATAACGTCTGAAGTTGTTTCTTCTGCTCCTGAAAAGTGATCTTTAGTTACCCCTTTCATGCAATGGTTACAGGCAAGGGTGCAGGCAGCCTTATCGGCGGCTACATGATGAAGGCGTTCGATACGCGCCCCACGTATCGCATGTTTGCGGCGGCCTGCGCTGTCACAGGGCTCTTGTACTTCGTGTTCAACACATTCTACCTCCGGAAGAGACCGCAGGTGTGTGTGTACTTCACTGCACTCCTGGTGGACTGCACCGACACCAGTATTCTACTTTGAGTTACACAATACACTATTTATTTTTAAATTTGTTATCCCTCTCAGACTTTTATGATAATTTATTGCAGATACAAAATTTACAACATTATTGTAGTCTTCGGGTTGTGACACCGTGTAGCCTTGTGCTTACGAACATTTCGAGGAATGTTTAGCAATGTATACAGACATGAAGTCTGTTGAACATTTAATTATTCGTGTTTTTTATTCGTGTTTTTTTCCGTCTAATCACAATTGTATATAAATAAAATTATACATAAGATATTAAAATATCATTTACATATTTGGTACAACTTTTTACTACATGTTTCGGTTACACTGAACCATCTTCAGGTGTAAAGTTGTACCAAATATGTAAATGATATTTTAATATCTTATGTATAATTTTATTTATATACAATTGTGATTAGACGGGGAAAAAAACACGAATAGTTTAGCTTTTATCTTTGAGAACTTCAACCAAGAAGATGGAGACAGTACGTTCGACCGAAACGTTGGTATTCAACTACAAGGTGTCACAACCCAGAAGACCACAATCCACATATTCACCGACATGAACACTTCATAACGTCAGTGACCGCTGATGACTGATAATTCTTGATCCTTTTCAGGTTGAAGGCAATGACATTGTAAAGAAGAAGGTCCCTACGTCAGAACCCGGTGGTCCGGAAGAAATAGGCTTTTATAACATTTCTAAGGAGAAAGGACTCAATAACGGAATGAACGAAAACAGAAAAACTGAAACTATTCCTATCAAGGCATTGGGGCTGAAATCCTATTCATCGGCAGAAGACAATAATTCGAAAAATAAAGCATCTGTGGAATGCAATGTAAATTTTGGTTATGACGCGACTGGTGAAGAACAGAACGTAACAATGGGAGGTTCTGCAATACAAAAATGTGAAAAAGTTACGGACGACTCGAGAAATGACAAACAAAATGGAGAAGAGGAACATGAGAAACACCAAAGATTCTGAAAGTGCTGGAAATGTAATAAAAGAAGAAAATTCGACATAATAATGTGCTGTAAATTACTATTATTATAATTATTGAAGTCTATAAAGTAGATCAAAATGTGACATTTTACTTGATAAAGGTTTATATGATAATTTTAAAGTAAATCGAATTGCATAAATAGAATAAAGAAATGTGAAATAAATCGAGGCGATAAATTCCACTTGTGGATATATAGAGGCAGTGAGATAGTCTGTGGAAATGGACCGCTAACGGGCCCATTGCCCGTCCCCCAGATGGGTTGATAAGGAATACCGAAGAAGGCCAGCATCATTTTGTCCGCCATGACAATGTGAATGCCTATTAACCGTGTTTGACGGCCAGACACTTGTGAATCATTATCATCATAACTCCGCTGTCTCAGGTCACACGTTATGCGGCATTTGATTAAATTCAACCATAAACCAATGTTATTCTAATATATTTCTCAGACAAAACTTCTGGAACAATCTGTTCTTTGGAGCGATGAAAATGAAGCGTAACGAAACTCTTGCTTTGGCATAATCCAGTTTCTCCTTGCGAGGAACAACTCTCCAAATAATTCACGCGGATGGATGGCAATTTAAACGGAGAGCTTACAGCGTCAAAATAATTCAGAGTGTACAATTTGACAACCATGAAACGGTAATAGATCAACTACAAAAAACTGAGGAAAAATACTTAGTATATGTACAATTATTACCTAAATTACAAAACATTTGAAAAAAGGAAATTTCAGGAGTCGAGCAGTAAAGTGGCTAATTACAGGATTTCCGGCAGGGGCAAGGAGATCCTCATCTCCATCACCGTGTCCAGGGCATTCACCCACCGAGTGACAGTAGTTCGTCTAGCAACGAAGAACGGCGACACTGTCTCTGCATAGCCTGTATTATCGATAGAGCACTGAGGCTGAGTCGCGACATAACGATGGGTGGAAGCGTAGGCAAACGTAGGTGCTGACGTAAAATGATGCCAGGCAAAGTCTGTTTCCATTCTGTAAGTCTGGGCAACATTACCAAATATTAACACAAACACATTCCCTTTTTTTCGTCCTACAAATTATACAAATGCTTATTCTAGAGGTCGTGCGGCATTTGACAACTCAGACACGGGGTTCGAATCACGATCGGGGTATGGATGTATGTCGTCCAAGGAAATCTAACGTTTGTCTTACTAAGGATGCCTTTGCAATAGAAGAGACGAAGGTTCAAATCAGGTCGTGAAGAAACTGTTGATGCTGGTCTATTCATTCTGATTTATTTTACGACGATATCAATGCTTCAATTCATAAAGCGTCGAGTTATTACAATGATCTGATCCTCCAGGGAAGGAAATATCTACAATAGAGGAGGCCGGGGTTCGAATCAGACTAATAACAAAAGACACAATTCGTGTACTGTTGGCACAGTCTGCAGACCCTTGTATTTAACATCAACATTAGCAACTCTCACGAAATAAATGGGTCTGTACACACAAACACGAATAATACATAAGGGACAGTAATTTATACAAATACAGATGAGGGCTCTTGAAGTGGTAGCCACACGGCCAACCATCCTCATGCAGTAAAATTATAATTTGCACCTAAATCCAGAGTAAAAATAGCAAATGTGTCTGTGGCGATTTGGTCCATCGGCGGGCTCCATATTCATGTGTCGTCCTACCGATATCAGGCAGACTAGGAACATGGTACAAGTTTACTTGTAATTATTTATTTAAATACATATCACACTGAGAAACATTTCTAATAAAAACTCCATATCTTAATGATACTTTACGTAAAACAAACCAGTCTTTTATAACATGGAGTGCGATCTGCAGACCTAGACACGCAACGATATCCTATCGAGACACGGATGTGTTGTCTTGGTGTGTAGAGGTCATGGCGACAGTTTCATCCCCCACAGAAGGAGTTCTAGTGCTTAACAACGGTTTACTAAACCTCCTCTGCAGTAGATGAGATCAAAGTTTGGAATGGGTTGCAGCGCTGATGAGACGAGGAAGGACAACGGTCTGTGAGAATAAATTATGCATGCACTCAACAAACATGGAAAAGTTTCGGAAGCTGAAGAGTCGACAGTTTGTTGACATTGCTGTACAGCTATGAATTGTCCCCTACCTGACACATTCATTCACTAATGTTTACTGTCTGGAAACGGGAGCACCGCTATGTCCACACGCATACACACGAAAATCGCAGTGTTATGGGAGTCAGGTGCAAGGATACAACAAACCAAGAAGCTCAGCGGCAGCCATGCTTTCTCAGGTAAGACTTTTGGATTAATTGGCGAAATTACAGTTCTAAGTATCACCAAATATCTTCTTCTGGTAAAATACAGATTGAGAATAACGATTTCGTGATGGATCCACCAGCATTTATGCATACAGAACAATCAGTTTTTGATTCAACGTAATATCAAGTAGGTGGAAGATAGGAAATTTACAATCCTCAGACAGATGAACAAAATATGACAATTAATGACAAATATTCCAAGCTTAAGTGGAATAATTTACACTCTGGTAAAGTATTGTACACAAGTACATACCTAAAATTATATACTGTAAAACATTACTTAAATCAGTGCTAAAATACGGTGGGATGACAGTCAAAAGGAAGAATTAAAGAGGCAGAAATGAGAACCAGAGCCAAAACTGGTAGGGAATGTTGAGGGTTAAAATGTATTGAATTCACAATCAAGGGTAATTATAAGTGTGATAAATGTAAAGATAACACAAAAATGCCCCTGGAAATGGGTAATAAACTTCAGGCTACGGCCACATTAACCCCCTACACCAATTTTAAAAAAGGTCAACTGACTCCATGGAACAGTGCCAAGTCCTCACATATACGCCGTTCATTTCACGCATCATGTGACTCATTTAGAAGTTCAGACATTTTGATCTCCCATATACGCGCGCACGAGCATTTCAGTTAACGGCACAAAAACTGCGTATAATTTATTGTAAAATGCCTTCTATATGTTATTACAAAGTCATTTTATATCATAAGTGAACAAATCCACAACTTCTAAGAAAAGCTACTTTTCTTTAGGGATTAGTGCTTGCTCTCTTTGTCACGTGGGTGCAGGACGGGCTGACCAAAGATATGCTGGCAACCAATTACGCCAAGGTGGCTCGCTCGGGCACAACGTACAGCAGTTCCTCTGTCAAAATCGGCCCCAGCCAGTGAGTAATCCAACAACATACAGTATGAGAGTTATATAACATAGTGCCGTGCATTTCGAACCTGTACATTCCTACATCTGCAGTTATCACACGAGGGAACCTGATCTTCTCTGGGTAAGAAACTGGGCTCTCATTCAGAGTCTGGATCAAATTCTCGCCAAGATCCCTGTGAGGGCCTCCATCGTATTTCGGAGTGCATACAACTAGATGTGTGTAGATGTTTTCTGACGACCATCATTTTAATGGTAAATTGTGGTAACAGAACCCACAATACGCGTGCTCAGAAATGGTATCTACACCGTCACCTACGATGGCAGAGACCAGGAAGGTTATCAGAGGTCATACCTGGAGGAATTAGTTAAAAACAACAGACAATTATCAGAGGCGAACTCAGTACTTCAGAATGCAGATATGTTATATATACATAAAATGTGTGAGCTAATTGCAATTTAATCGCTTAGGGTCGACGAGCCTTATGACAAAAACATCAGCGTCATGATTGCAGTTCAGCCAAATCCTGGAGCCAAGAGCGACAGCTTCGTCGTATACGCGAAGAGAGTTTCGGAGGGCGAAGGTAGGACTAAGGTTAAGCAACCCGTCATGACAACTTGCAGCGGAAAAAACCCACCCTACTGCCAACACGTCCATCAAAATCCCACCTGGACTGCCCTCGAAATGGGTCTGAGTTCAACGGTAATAAGCCTTAGCTATGGTGCTATGACACTGGATAACTAACATTCTGATTCTATATATCACGACAAGAGATCCGAATGACAAAACTAATGAGCTTGAAATAGACAATACAAGTAAAATTATCAGACATCTTTTTAAAGAAGTAAATTCATTTAAAAAGGGTACCCGTCCTGCAAGTAACTTGTTAAATTATAATGGCGAACTGCTTTCTGATTTCCACACTGTTTTGAATAAGTGGAAGAATTATTTTTAACATCTGTTGAGTGTACATGGAATTAGCGATATTGGGCGTAATGGAATAAATACAGCTGACCCATTAGTACCTTAGTCTAGGTTTAGTCAGGTCTTGTCTTGAATTAAAAGTGAAAACACTGTTCTGAGATGTGAGGCTGTCAGGGAGGCTAGGATGTCGGTTGTGGTCTTCAGGGTTGGGACGCCAGATAATCTTATATATATTACAAACGCTTCTGTTCTAACCTAAAAATGGAGGCAATATGTTCCTCCAGAATCTTGAAAATCACTTGGTGTTACAACCCACTAGACCACAATCACAAAATCGACATCCGTAAAAATGTTCTTTTGAAAATTCCCTTCCGTTTCCAGCGGACCAGACAAGTGAGAGGAACCTATCAACATCTGAAGCTAGGATGTCAGGGAACATGAACTACAATCCTGCACTCCGTTATGTCGCACAAGACATGAGATACTATGTAAACCCAGTGTACACGGCACAGAACAGAAACGAGCCCAGTATCGAAAGCGAAAGGCAGCAAATTGATGCTTTCGGTCAAAACCAAGATTCAAGCAAAACAAATATTGACCAGTTAGGTCCCAGCGAAACGGAAGAACTACCAACTTCTACAGCAAACCATTCTCGAAGCGGACCAGAATCTTATCGGTTCAAAGAAGGGACACAGGGCTTCAGGTCAAATGACTCGGATAAACAGCCGCATTACCTTAAGCTACCTCAAGACGTTTACAATGGACCAGACTCATATCACACTACTGCACCATCTCCACCCACATCTGAACCGTCAATGCACATGAACGTCTATCAGAATGCACCGTCGTCGAATTTTAACAAATCAAATACGCCTAATTACGAACCCCTGAATTCAAAAGACTCCTTCAAGCCCTCCCAAGACAGCTACCAACTTCAGCCACCGAAAGAAATTTATAAACCATATATTATTGCTTACCAGTACCCAAAATTAAAAGAATCCATGACCCTAACAGACGACACCTACAAATCTCCAACAACAAAAGATTCCTTCATACCATCTATGCACATCTACCAGCCTTCGAACATAAAGGAATCTTTTACACCATCTATGGACGATTACCCGCCAACGAAATCAAAGAACTCCTTTACACCACCTTCGGACACTTACCAAGACCAGAAACAAATACATTATCACAAATCACCAATGTTTACTTACCAATCTCAGTCAGTAAAAGAAAGTCTCACACCTCCTTTTGTCCGCTCTCCAGAAGAATTCTACAAACCTCCAATGAAAGATAATAAATCATCTGGAGATGCTAAAAAAATTCCTACTTCGGCAGAACACCAAGCAGACCTTGACCACTCTTCTACACCAAAATATTTCCACAACGCGGTTGAGCAGAACTATACATACACAGATTACGGTCCGTCTTCCTATCTTCATAAGGGAAATTCATATGATCATCCTACAGAACACAATAACTATAATGAATATGACTATTCTGAACTCGACCATTCTCATGAACATGGCTCTCATGATTATGCATACTATCACAAACCGCCTGTCCTATCACCCGCATCCGAACATTCGCATGGACATCCGCCAAACTCGTCAAAAGAAACATACGGACATCCGTCATACTTACCAGAAGAACCATATGAGGCTTCACAACTTCCACCAAAAGACGGAGCCCCACCATCTCCCCCACACCCGCCAAAAGACATATACGGACCTCCGTCACACTATCAAAAAGAATCTTACGGAACTAGGCAATATCCGCCAAAAAACAAACAAAAAGACCCACCATCTCCGACAAAAGACATGTATGGTGCTCCACCACCCCTGCCAAAAGAACCATACGGAGCTCCGCCACCTACACCAAAAGACAAAGTCCCGCCACTTCCGCCAAATGATATGCACGAACCTTACCAACATCTGCTAAAAGACCTATACCTAGTTTCGCCATCTCCACCAGAATACATATATGGACCTTACCCACACCCGCCAGAAGACTCATATGGAGCTCCGCCACTTCCACCAAAAGATATTTATGGAGCTCCACCACCCCCGCCAAAAGAACCATACGAAGCTCCGCCACATCCGCCAAAAGACACGTACGGACCTTACCCACGCCCCTTAAAAGACTCATACAGAGATCCACCATATCCACGAAAAGAAGTGTATGGTGCTCCACCACCCCCGCCAAAAGAACCATACGGAGCTCAGCCACCTCCACCAAAAGACATGTATGGTGCTCCACCACCCCCGCCAAAAGAACCATACGGAGCTCAGCCACCTCCACCAAAAGACATGTATGGTGCTCCACCACCCCCGCCAAAAGAACCATACGGAGCTCAGCCACCTCCACCAAAAGACATGTATGGTGCTCCACCACCCCCGCCAATGGAATCATACGGAGCCCCGCCACCTCCACCAAAATACATGTATGGTGCTCCTCCTCCTCCACCACCACCACCACCACCTCCACCTCCACCACCTAAACGCAAATTATATGGATACTACCACATTGGCCGCAAGCTCTACTTGATCCCAGCATACTTCAGCTTCCTGTTCATCCCCTACGTGGTTGCGCTCATAATCAAGTCCATCATAAGGCATAAAGTTAAAGCTCCGTTCAACTACTGGGACACCCACAAGAGAGAGCTGGGCGCTGACGACACGACGAGTCGCGTGGCGAGGGCTATCGAGACAGCTGAGCACAAATATAAGTAAAACACGTTTCCTTTCATATTTATAATCATACTTCGACTCGGCATGTAGTACAGTTGACAAAGCGTTGTTAAATATACAAAGTTTTAGTCAAGTGTTAAGTGACTTGTTTTAGGGGCATATATCCTTTCCGATCTACATACTGAAATAGGTGTACAGTCCCCTTGGACCACTAAAGGTCTTTCTGGATAAAATAACTTCTTTATTTTCTCTGATAAAGGGCTCACTGTACCAATCGTTAAAAACGTTGGAACATGGCATCAGATGTCTTATGAAAATACAAATTTTATTATTTAAAACATTTGTTTATAATATAGAAATTCAGTTATCATAATGCATATGAGTGAAATGAAAGCAAATTCTCTTTAGAGACTGATGTCAGATTGCTAGTGTCCTGTTGTGTTATTATTCGATGTGACAATAAAATAAACGGAAATTTTCTTTTACAATTTCTCACTGTATTTGTTACCTGTAATACCCCTTTCAGAAGTCTGCTTATAGCATGTATTAAACCGCACAGCATCCCAGCACCTTAAGAAACATTTACTTCCTTAAACTTTCGTTTTTAGATACATAACAAGAGGAGAAGTTAACTTTCCTGTGGCACAGATTTTTCGTGCTACAGTTACTTCATTTGTAAAGTTTCTTTTTTAGAACACAAGTTTTTGATCTAGCAAAAAATTCAATATGTCTCACAACTTAGCGTTGCGGGCTAGTGCACGGATGGTTATACGATCACACCCCATTTTGTTACATTTCTTTTCCACTGCTTGTAATTTTAACTATATAACAGAATGTTGTCGCTATTAGAATCCGTAATTATTACTATTATTATTATTATTAATAATATTGTTATTGAAAGAATTTATTGAGTACTCGTTTATAGATCACCGATTCTTCGTTAAATTTATCACATATGAACTGAAAGTTTTGTACTGTTGCCATAATTGAAATTTTTCACTTCAAGGTAGTATTTAAATCATCACTTTTAGATATGTTCATGACACAGCCAGTGACCAAATTTCGCACGGCTCATAAATCATAGTTATCAAATTAAAGTTACTTAATTTTTGACTGGCCGACATGTTATAGTTTAACATTCTATAAAAAATGTCATTAGGAAGAGCTTGATACTTTTTGAGAATACGTCGAAATGAATGAAGTAAAAATGATAAAATATGAATATCAACTACAGAGGACATCGGTCCACAATTATGAGAACAAAGGTCATCACGGTGTTAAAAATGCACATTATGTGTTCTGAGTTGTAACGTCTTGTAGATGATTAGAAACTTTTTAGAAAATCTTGTCGCCTGCATCATTTGACTTCTGCCGTTCCAAATTGAAAGGCGATGTTTTCCTCCAAAAAGTTGGTAACCACCTACAAAACTACATGGCGACCAAAAACAGAAGACGACACTGTACTTAGTCTGGAATTACTTACTATTAATTAACAGGCCACCTACACACATAAAACTGTGGAGTGGCCCAGGAGCACTGGACATTAGGAGTGCAAGATGCGGTCCCATTAATAGCTCTAATGGGAGGTGTGAAACAATAGCCCCGCTATACCAGTTCGGCGGGCTGACGGTCAGATGAGTCGCAACATTTGTCGTAACAGCCATGTCTTCTTGGGTAAGTAAACAGCATGGAACGACGTATTAGCAGGACTGGTGAATTTTCCAACGTCCGGAAATCGGATTTTCCATAACCCGGCTAGTTTTTCAAAATTGTTTAAAAAAAAGCTGTAAGTAGGCTATAATTTTGTCACTTGTAAAACCATGGGACAAATTAAATTGCAAGTGTTTTGAAGGAAAGTGCTCAAGAAACTGCGAACTATGTTGGCAGAAGTAGAAAATTCCCTAATTTTCGGCGACGAGTCTGTGACATTTTCAACGCGGCTCCTTCATTACAATCCAAAGAAAATGACAATTTGTGATTTGATATCTGAGATCTGAGGAAGTGAAAACGAGTAAAATGTACGGAATAATGATAAAGTAGATCCATGGCTGTAATTGTAGCTATCAAACAGAAGAAAGTTTATAAATGAGTGGAAATATTAAACAGTAAGAGGACGAGTGTTGATGATGCGTTCTGAACGATATTATGTTAAGAAACGAATCTATCAACGATTCCGGGACAACCACAGAATTACCACGGACGGAATGGATTGATAAGAAGCAGGAAAAGAATATCACAAGAAAGCCTTAAGGGCAACCGAAAATATTTTATTTTGATGGAAAGGGAAATTGTGGACGGCTAGACTTATACGCACTGAAAGACAAAGTAAATAGTCCCTCGTAGAAAAACAACACGTGACCAGTTACTTTGTTACTGTCGTCAAAACTTTTCATAAACAGCGTTTTAGTTTTCTATTAAATTAGTTGCCTACGAGAAATTAGGTGAGCGGACACTTGCGTATGTGCCTATTTTATAATGAAAATTTTCGATTTATACAGGTCACTCGCGTTGTGGAAGTGAAATCAGTGAGATTACGACGTACTGGACATGTAAGTATAGATAACGGAGATGTGTATCAAATTCTGGTCGTGAAACCTTTTTAAACCATTATGTGGAAGACAAAGTAGAAAAATACATTAACAGTGTTGAACCTTCTGGTTTTGTTGTCAGAATGTTGGTTAATTACACGGTAGGTTAGAACATTTTATAAATATACAGTTCTTGGAGTTCATAACTACCATAAAATTTTCTTTAATAACCGTGTGTAATCGAAACTAGCAACACATTAACATCGAAATCCAAAAACGTCCAGAAAAAAATTGTTTGTTTTTATAATGGTCACAATTACAAAGAATAACTATCAGAAATGAGATATTAATTGAATTCTTCAGCGAAGACATAACTAACGAGAAAATGTACTTATTCTTGGTATAATATTTTTGCAGGGTTTTTTCCTATATCTGAGCCTCCATATTGTCTTTATGTGGATACAACATGTAGACGCTAAGCCTCAGCTAATTGCTCCAACCTACGCAACCGTCACGAGAACCGGAAGTATCACCGCTCCTAAACGAATGGAGACAGATGCCAAGTACGTAGTAATATTATTTCTAGCAGATTCAAACTCTGAACATGTAATGGTTAAGTTTAGTGTTCAGAAGAAAGAACCGTCCCCTCAAAATAGTAATCGTATTAGCTACCAATCTTTATTATTCTGCCTGCCACACGATTCAAATATGATAATAAATGTTAGCCAATAGGTCACTGACTTTCTAGACCTTGTGTATGATCATTGTGCTACTAGAGGTCACCCCATACTGTTATCTGATTTTAACAATACCAACATGGCGGCCACTAAAATTTGTAAGGTGAGAAGTGCACTAGCGCCATTATATGTAGGGCCTCGAAATTCTGTGTAGGCTAATGACACAGCTTACAAAATATGAAGCTTTCTTTGTGGTGGACATTCAGGAAAATGAAAACAATATGGCGAGTGGTTGAAATATGACGAGAAAAAAGCGACACATTTTGAATTGGAAATTTTTGGAGTAGCATGTAATAAATTCTGTTATATTTGAGGTTCTCACGACGATAAGTACGAAGATGGACGTCTTCTATGATGTTGCACCGCGTATGATTGCCCTGATGACGGACACAGCAAGAACCTCTTAAAAGTCGGTATAATTCTGTTAGACTACACTGCACGATATCCCAGAAGACAGCCATCTTCGGACTCACTGCAATGAAAACTTCGAATCTTGCCTTCGTAAAGAATGATCAACACAGCAACTTGTCCACGTGTCTACAGCCTCGGACGAAGCCCATTGCAATAATCGTAGATTCGACGCGATGTCAGGAATTTCGAAGAATATTGGTTGAATAAGTCAGAGTTATTGTCCTGCCGACAGACAGCACCCAATTCATCTTTGTATGGATGTCTTCAACATGAATTAACTGTTTCACAGATTTCACAAGCAAAATGGCACCGACAGCGCAGATGTTGACAGTCATCTACAGAATTCTAATGGAACATCCAACTCCAGTCCGAACTACATGTATTTACCTGGGATGAGAACGGAAACAATTTTAAAGAATCACGGTAAGTCAAGGACAAGGACCTTTGAATTTATTATTTAAGATATAGGATTTTAATTTTTAAGTCAAAGTTTAAGGCTTAGCTGTTAACTCAGCACAACGATGTACATGTACACGATTTTAGCCATACGAAAACTAAGTTAATTTTCTATGCAGACTCATAGACAGAAAGCAACATTTCGGAGAAACATTTATCTCTAGCTTGAGGGCCAAAGTGCAATACTGGTGCTCTACTCTGAAGGGACCAGCACAGTTGGACAATAACAACGGTGTAGTGAAGTTTGGTCATTTCAATTCTTCACACTAACCTACCTGAGAGCTTCTATTATTATATTGTTTAATTCCTGACTTAAATACAATCTATATACGAAATAGCTTTTGCCCTTACATTAATAAGGGCCTCAAAAATTCCCTTTTTTAATTTTATTAAAAGTACCGTTGTTAGTTCAATCATGAGTTATTCGTTGGAGCTTCGTCAGTGATCATAGGAAGTTAATATTTAACTTTTTACTGTCCTTTATACTATTTTCTTTTCGAATTTCTTACCAAGCCTCTGAATGTTAACACAGTTAACAGAAACAGCTCGTCTATATCTGGTCCTGATCATATTCTTTGGCGCTCGTTTAGGAGAATTGAATGCATACTTTATTTATCTCTGTACGTTACGTGCGCGTAATTCCAGAAGAGCGCGGATGAAACGTGAAGGATGCTTTAAATAACGTGAGGGCCAGAATGGAAAGATAGAAATAGAGAACCTGGTTTCGATCCAGTAATCCTCTAAGACCCGCACACTGGAACGTTATTCAGTTCCCAGCTGGCCGAGAAGAATGAAGAAGCTGTGGTGGAGAAACATCAATCCTGCAGTTTTACCAAGAATATGGGCATACAATCATTTTGGCTTAACACAGACATGCAAAATCACATTTATTATTGGCGTTTAGAAAATTCAACTTCTCCAATCTCCCAGGGTTACAAAGAAATGCCTTGTTTTTTTACATTTCGTTATAAAGAGATTTTTAATGGAAGAAATAACATACACATCAAGAGATCTGATGATTATGGAGTCTGTGAAAACCTCTTTAACTCTTTAATCTCTAACTTTTACTTGACGAAACCTGCAAATTTTTAGTTAGAATTTCTGAAGGGAAGAGACCATTTCAAAGACCTAGGTGTAGAAAGAAAGTTAATATTAAAATGGGTTTTATGGAAATGCTATATTAGGTTGTGGACTGGATTAATCTAGCTCGGGCTAGGGACCTATGGCGGGCTCTTCTAAACACGGTTATGAACTAGCTGAGCGATTTAAGCTTCTCAATAAAGATAATGTTCCGTAGACTTACTTTATTTTATTTGTAGCTTCTGCACTGCCTTTCCTTGGTATAAGTACAACATTAACATCTCCGAAGTGCATAATTTCTCTGAATAATCAAAAAAGGCTCCCTTGAATTGACACGGTCAAATTACAGAAATGTTTAGAGACGAAGACATCAGGCTTCCCAATAGACATACATATTTGAACAGCAACATAAAATACACTGAAAGAATCATTCCAAATTAACTCGTATTGTAGTTGCATAACCAGCTTCTAGACGTCCAAAAATTTCTATTTCATGGTTAAACGTTTCAGTACTTAGATACTACATCGAGCTGAAACATTGAAAACTATTTCCTGCTACATAATATCCCTATATATGTGGAAGGATTATTTGACGGCTCCAGTATTAGCGTCGAATAGTATAAGAGGATAATAAGATATGACAAACCGCAAATAAAGTTTCCGTTATAAGTTAGGGTAAAATAAAACTGTTTTCTTGGGGCAGGGGTAAAAAATTAAATCGTAAGATTTGAGGTTTTCACGGCGGTGAGTCTGAAGATGGCTGTCTTCTGGATTGTTGCGCCGTGTAGTTTGGTAGAAGTTTACCAAAGTTTCAGAGGTCCTTGCTGCCTCCATCATCAGACTACCAGACTACACGGCGCAACAACCCAGAAGACTGCTATCTTCAAAATTTAAATCACTTACTAACGGACGATTATAATGCAGACCTACTATCCGAAACTTATGATGTTTGCCTGTTTTCAGATAGCCATGGAGATTCCAGAAAGGGATCTACAGTTTCCAAATCTCCAGTTATCTACCTGCCTTACAATCACAAACTAACGTCGTCCGACCTGCAGTATTTTAAGCATCCTGTCTACATTGCAGAAGGACGCCCCACTGTCCCTAGCTATAAGCAAGCAGAAGGCAGTAAGTCATCATCTACAATGGAGTTTAAACACTTCATGACAGGCCAGCCTCTGGATCCTTTTTATTACGATACTGCCATGGAATCAAATCAAACAACAAAACCACACTCGCCCAGTTCTCATAAATATGGTTCCGAGAGCTCAGACAAAACTAATGCTAATTACTACAAAATTGATGCCTCTCTGTCCGACTACCAAACACAACAGCAAAATATAGGATCTCAGGATTCAAAAAATTCTGTAAAAATAACAGAAAACAGAACATCTGAAGATTCAAATAACCAACCAAGGGACATGTATAAGGAATCCCTATATTACATTCCACAGTCAAGCGATTTCGAACTGGCACTGAATTCGAATCAAGACTCGCAATCAAACGATCCGTACGATGGTCCAGATTCTTACAATCCACCACCACTCAGTAAACCTTATGGGACATCCAATGAACAGCCAGAGTTAAATTTTCCACATCTAGGTTCGTATGAACTTTACAATAAACCGTACAAATCACTTGAGGAGACACACAAACCTCCATCGCCTGCGGATACTCATATGCCTCCATCGTCTATGGTTACTTATGAACTGCCAGCTCCTATGGATACTTTCAAACTTCCATCACATATAGACACATACAAAAGTCCATCACATATGGATGCTTACAAACCTCCATTATCAATGCATACTAACAAATACTCAACACCTGCAGACACTTATAAACCTCCCCCTCCTCCAGCAACTTCATTTATGGAGACTTACGGACCTCAGTCAGCAGCTGATACTAACAAATCTCCATCAATCGGAGATACTTACAAAATTCCATCACACGCAGATACTGTTATGTCATCACCTACAAATACGTATAAACCTCCGTCACCTGCAGAATCTTCGTCATTTAATTCCGATTCTGATAAGCCTTCAGTTTTCAAGACTTACAAACCCCATACAGAAGTCGACATACTTCCATTAAATAAAGACTCTAATAAACGACCCACAAATCTCTACACAACAACAAAAGATACTGATATATTAACGCCATTAGACGACAAACCCAAACAAAATGGATGGTCCGAAGAGGAAGCTCCTGAAAACGACGATTATCCAGAATATGACACACACGACCACGATACACAGAGTCATTACCATGATCACATCTACGATCATAATTCCCATAAACATAATTTTCATCATCAATTATATGATCACGATCACCATCAACTACCTTCTCCTCTTCCACCAAGTAAACATAATTACCACAATTCACCATCATTCCTACATACAAAGGAACACCCATCTCTCGCCGAAACACCATTTCCACCCACAGATACTGTTGAAGCTCCCTCGCCCCCACCGAAAGACACACATGGAATCCTGAATTATGATACACACGACCAGGATACACTTAATGAGTATCATAAAGACATCTATGATTATGATCCCTATGAACATAATTCACATCATTTCCATGATGACGACCACCATAAACTGCCTGCTCCTCCGCACCCAACTAAACATAATTATCACCATCAGCCGCCATCCATACATACAGAGGAATCCCCATCTGCAGACGAGGAGGTACCATATACATCTAAAGATGTCGGAGCTTCCTCGCTTCCTCTAGAAAGTACGTACGGAACTCCGGAGTATGACACACACAACCATGATATAAACAGTGATTATTATGACCAACATTATGATCAAGACCACTACGAACATCATACACATCATCATTTATCTGATCACGGCCACAATGAACCACCTGCATCTTCACCACTAATTAAATATAATTATCACCATCCGCCGTCACCTGTACATACCGAGGAAATTACATCTCCCACTAAAGTACCATCTCCACCGAATGACATGGTCAAACCTCTCACATCCCCTCCAAAAGACATGGTCGGAGCTGCCCCACCACCTCCGAAAGATATGGTCAAAGTTTCCCCACCACCTCCGAAAGATATGGTCAAAGCTTCCCCACCACCTCAGAAAGATATGGTCGGAGGTCCTCTACCACCAAAGAATGGTATAACTGGAGATTCCCCACATCCTCCAAAAACTACAGCCAAAGATCCCTCGTCCTCTCCAAAAGGTACGTACGGAACTACGGAGACTGCTACACATGACCACGATACCCACAGTCATTACGATGATCACGGCCCCTACAAACACCATTCGCACCATCAACTCCAGGATCACGACCACCATGAACTATCAGCTCCTCGACCTGCAACTAAATATAACTATCACCGTCCCCTCTCATTCTTACATACGGAGGGATCTCCATCTCCGATCGAAGTACCATATCCATCTAAGGATAATGTCGGATCGTCCTCACCCCCTACAAAATATATTTATGGAACTCCAGAGTCTGCCACACACGACCACGACACAGACAATCATTACCGTGACCATATCTATGATCATGGCACTTACAAACATCATTCACATCATCATTTCCATGATCACGACCACCATGAACTATCTGATTCTCCACCACCAACTAAACACAGTCATCATCTTCCTCAGTCTACCATACATACTCAGGAATCTCCATATTCTGTCGAAGCACCACCTCCACCGAAAGATATTGTTGGAGCTCACACACCTCCTACAAAGGATATTTATGGAAATCCAGAGTATGACGCACACAGCCATTACCACGACGGCAATTATGATCACGATCCCCACGAACATGATTTACACCATCATTTCTATGAACATGATCACCATGAACTACCCGTTCGTCCACATTTAACTAAACCTAAATATCACCACCCACCGCCATTCGTGCATACAGAGGAATTTTCATCTCAGGCGGAAAAACCGTATCCACATAAAGACACATTCGGAGCACCCCCACTGCCTCCAGAAGATACATACGGGCTTCCAGAGTATGACACTCACGACCACGATACACACAGTCATTATCATGGCCACATCTATGACCATGATTCCTACAAACATCATTCGCATCATCAATTCTATGATCAAGATCACCATAAACAACATGCTCCTCCACCGATAATTAAGTATAATTACCACCATCCTTCGTCATCCATACACATAGAGGAACTTCCATCTCCGTCCGAAGCACTACCACCGGCTCCGGATATGGCCGGAGCTTCCCAAACCCCTCCAAATGGTACGGTTAGTGCTCCTTCCCCTCCTCTGAATGATATGGTTGGAACTTCCCCATCACCTCCAAACAATATGTACGGTGCTCCGCCACCCCCTCCAAATGTCATGTACGGAGCTTCTCCACCCCCTCCAAGTGTCATGTACGGAATTCCGCCATACTCTCCAAATGCCATGTACGGAGCTCCGCCACCCCCTCCAAATTCCATGTACGGAGCTCCGCCACCAGCTCCAAATAATACGTACGGAGCCCCACAAAACGAGACACAGCCCATGGAAAAGAAACCACAGATAACATACTACTATCTGGGGCGAAAATTATGGATTCTGCCACTCTATGCTGGAATATGCTTCATTGCATATGTACTACTTTTATTGCTAAAGGCTATTTCACGGCACAAAGTAATTTCTCCTTACAATTATTATACCGGTGTACAAAGCAGGCATCTAAAGTCCCACTGGCAGCAGCATCTGTACAATACCACAGAACATGTTACGAAGGCTTTGAAAACAGCAGAATATCGATATATGTAAATAAACAGACACAATAATCAATAAACATCTCGGCACTTATTAATGTTTCATTTCCACTAAAATTTAGAAACGTCGCCAGTGAATTGTGATGCAATTAATTGTGTGCATATAAACCGATCCCATTTTTTAATTAAAAATGTGTTTTATTCATATATTCTAACAGACTAGTTCTATACTTTATCCCAAAATAATATCCAGCAGCAACATAGTAACACGAAATCAAATTATATTCTAAAATGTAAGAAACAAAATTATATATAATAATAATAATATTATAAATTTCCCTATTATTTGTCATTTTAGAAACATAACTTGCTTCTCTGAACACATCATTAACATTCTTAAATACACGACAAGTATAAGTTATAACGGATTTCAGGAAAATACTTATTTCCTCTGTTATATATTATTCACTGCCCTTTCTTGTGATTGTAGTCGCTTATCCATTTGAATTCCTTTTATTTCAGTACGTAGTGGAATCAGGTGGGAACCTAACATATTGATACGAAAATTAAGTAGCAGATGCGTATTTGTCTATGAAAAACAAAACTTCAGTCTTGAACAGCAGGTAATGAAAATGATTTCCGAGAGTTCGAAATTACTTGGACGCGTCTTATGTTAAATGTCGTAGGTTACACAAAAACTAACTTATTTTAAGAATGTTATGCTCTGTCTACGACTTTGGCTCCATTTCCTAAACGCTACAGTTTAGACCCATTTAATTCCATATTACTATTTGCCTGTGTCATTACTGTTATTTTAGCATAAGGTGTCAAATAGGTTTGTCAAATAAAATCAATTTTTTAATTGAACGTATCAAACATGCTGTAATACCTTTACAGGTAATGGTTTAATTAATAAACTGCCCTGAAAATGGTTCGTTACGGTCGAAATATCTCGAGATACTAACAAGGGTATATAAATTGTTGTACTCGGATGGTTTATTACATATGAATTAAATATAATACAATAGCATGAATTCTAGTGTCAAAACACTAAGAAATAGCTCATCGTATAGAAAACGGGTGCTAACGTACAACATATTAATACAGATCACACTGAAATCTACAGTCATTTAAACTTTCTTTTTCATAATCGCCTATCCATGTTTAAAAAATTGCAACTAAAAGAATTATTTATAAATTTTATGTAGCGTAATATCTCCACTATTCAACAGATTTGTCAACATAATTGTGGTTTTATGTCACGTGGTGATGCACCAGTTAGCTTGATCAACACCGCGTTTTCATCTCCGATGTATAAACCAATGAGAAGTGTAGAACCCCAAGAACACTTTTGGAGAAGACTGTATTTTAAATTGGAGTACAGAAAATTTGAATTTTAAGATGCAAGATCAGTCAATGGTGATAACGCTTGCGATATTGAAGACAGGCCATGGAACTGTTAAGGCGTACAAGTGTGAAACAACCGACCCGCTATGTACACAAATTCTGCCCAGACTCATGGCGATGCACGAGCTACCAGACACAGCGCGGAACAGACCGTTCCTGTATCTGCAATGATAGTACAGGTGAGTGAGTGTACGCTTAATTATCACAATTTAATATATAAATTATGTACTGCATAAAACCAGTCTGATGTACGGTTAATTACTTTCGGTCACAGAGGAGGTATTTAAACGAGCCAGGGTCTCGGCAAAAAACGAAATGATGCAACACGTAGGCGTCTGACCCTTCCGTCTTTACCCAGTAACGACATATTCCGTGTGATTTTTATCTATAAACTGTTTTAGATTTTTATTTTAATTACGTGTGTTAATATTATGTATTTAAATATTTATATAATGTAGTTCAGAAACTTTGATACTTACAGTTACAATTTAAGAAATTCAAACAGAAAATGTGGTTGTGAGCAAAGGGGAGGAATACAATATCAGAAGATTAGAAGTGGCTGATTTGTGGAAGGAGTGGCATAGAACTACAGGGTATAAAGGTGATATAATCGCATTAAATGAATAGAGAAAATGGAGAACGAGGGCGAGGGTTTAAGATACGAAATAAATCCTTTCCCGTTGAATTTTAACGTGCCTCTTCGTAAAACAGTGGTTCGTGAACTACCTATGTTGATTTATTGTCTGATTTTACGCAGCGCTTTGCGTGCCATCACCTCAAACACATCACTGATTCTCAGGGACATATCCCAAGTGTCTTAAGTTGAGGGGAGGAGATCCTTAGAGTAGCACCGGAAGAAGCAGGGGATTATTTTCTTTCGTATGTATCTGGCAATCCTCACCTGAGGAAGGAAACAGTTCCGGTTTCAGAAATGTATTCTTTTCAAAATATTTAGACGATGGATTTGTAACATAACATTATCATAAACCTATGGAATTAATAGGCACGTCACTGTAAATTCGTTGAAAACGCGATTTAAAAAGTCCTCCTTTCCCTGAACGTACATAATCTTAAAACTTTGCATACCGTGTAGTGTATTAGAATATCAAATAAGTAACAAACAGCTATTAACACTATAAAAAAGACACTATTGCTATACGCGTTTCAACCTCAAGAGGTCATCATCAGTGGCATCTGGGAAATCAATTCATTTAACCAAATGGTTCAAACTGAATTTAGAAATAAATAAGGTGTTTCACAAAAGTTATTTCAAACGATACTGCACTGGTTAAATTAATTGATTTCCCAGATGCCACTGATGATGACCTCTTGAGGTTGAAACGCGTATGGCAATACTGTCTTTTTTATAGTGTTAATAGTTGTTTGTTACTTATTTGATATTTAACGTACATAGTTTTAATCTCACAAACTCCTTGTCATCTCACAAAATAATTGTGGGTCAAAGATAATTCAAAGCTTTACATTTGCAAGAACTAGCCGTTGTGTTACTTCTGTTACAGCCAAACTTGCTGGCCTTGCTGGTGGTCTGCCTGCAAGGCGGACTCGCAATATTCCTTGCGCCCGTCTACGCTGCAGGCAGCAACAGGGCTACAAGGTTAGTAAATTCAAACAACTTAAAACTGAATAATCCGGTGGAAACTGGCACATCTTGAAGCTAACCACCCATTTCCATCTGGTGCCATACAATGGATCTCTCTGTTCCTGTAATACACTTTAATCAATTTGTGTTTTCATATAAAACTTGTCAGTTGGTGGTCATCTCAGCTTCACACTTTTTGGTCCCGTACCAGCAATAGTACTACATGGCGGCCCCCCATAAGACCTCACACATTGTTTCTAACTTAACCTGCTGTTCAAAACTGTCGTACAGAACTAACCACGTCTGTTTCAGTCCTGGCAAGTCACATGTCAGTGACGTCACAACGGACCGCAGCCATATTGAATCTTCTGACGAGAGAATTCAAACTACAGCTGTCACTCCAACAAACAGTGAGTAATGCACACTACTTGGATTATTTAACAACTACGTTTTCACTGCAGAGGTTACATTGTTGAATAAGATGAGAAGGTGTTTATGAATAGTGAGCACCCCAAAAACTGGGAAGGATGCAGTCGTAGCGTACTACTTCAAGGAATCTTCTGGAGAGTCTCAGAAACTGAGGAAAAACGCGCAAGAATTAACGGTAATTCGACTGAGATTGCAACAAGGACCTACCGACAAAGAGGCTACTTCACCAGCCAATCTGGTTGGTTCTCGATTATTCAGTAACGACGGACACATTGCTTCGTTAATTGTTGTGGGAGCTTAATAATTTAACGTGAATAACTTACTTGAAGAAAACATTTTGTGCAGAACTATCTAACCACCCGCAGGCCTAAAATTGTTACTTAATTGGGTGGGCGCTTGCTTGTTATTTTAATCCTTTTGTCTCCGATCTTTCGTTCATTGTGTATGCTTAATAATTACTAGGGGACCATAAGATAGGCGGTAAGGCTCAAAATGACATGTGTTATGTTCGTCAGGAAGCAGAAAATGCACAAAATAATCTATTTTATATTTGCAAGCGTGGCGATATCACCCCAGCCTATCAAATTATAAATGCCACTGATATTCTTATAAAAATTCTATCGAGTATTTCAATTTCTAGTGGTAAATGATAAAATGGAGGAATACGTGAAATAAATACGGCTCTAAATCAAACGTAAGAGGTAATTAGGGCCTAAGACCCCAAGTGAGATGGAATAATTCAAACAATCTTACTACTGTGTCGTGATAATGATGTATGTTTTTCAGATTTGCAGAGTGATGACCGAAACACTTCCAGATTCGAAAACAGAATTGGTTATCTAGAAAACACGAAAAACAGATTCTCACCGTCAACTAGTCATCATCAACTGAGTGATGACTTCTATAGTCACTCGATAAAACAGCCACACATTACATCAAGTGGATACAGAAGGCCAGAAATCTACGATCTGTCATCACCAGAAGCCTCAAACACAGGACCGCCCAGTTACCATTTTTCACAACAAAACCATCCAAACAGATCGCATGAATTTTTACAGCAAAGTTCATTTTATAAACAAACCGCATTTGATCGGGCGAAACATGAAGAATCACATCAATTCGCTTCGCGGATATATCCATACAAACTTGGCCCAGAAAAGGTAAAGCCACCACGTATTATGTACTCCCAACCACAAGAAATTCCCGGGGGGAATCCACCGCAAGATATGTCCCCTTACAGTCATGAATTATCCCAGGGGAAACCATCCCCAGATGAGATAGCACCTCCAAGTAAGAACACGCACGAATATATGCACGCAGACCATTATCATGAACCCCAGGACCACAGCCCCCTCGACTACCACGATAGTTCCTATGATTCGTACGAGTACTTTCACCACATAGAAGAAACCACAACAACCACAACCACCACAACACCCCCACCACCACCACCAAAGAAGGACCCAGTGGTGGGCCACTATCGCATTGGCCGCAAGCTGTTCTATATCCCACTCTATGCCGGAATTGTGTTTGTCGCCTATGTGTTGCTGCTGATAATCAAGTCAATAAAGAAACACAAGCGTGTTCCTTACATCTTCCTGACAAACCCTCCGGAAAGAAAACTGCGTGACATCACTGATCGCGTCATCAGGGCTTTGGAAACAGCGCGACAACGTTACACGATGTAAGTTCTAGTTTATTTTAAATTAATAAAGAAATATTCACCCGTGTGTTCTGTGCATTAGTTCCAGCGATACCGAATCCTTCTACATGAATGTAGTGAAACATAACCACAGAATTCCCATTCATCGCAATGTTCGACATTTCGAACACAGAAAAACCAATGTTTCATACAAACTATATATGCCTGCTTATTAGGTCTGAAAATCCATACCAAATTTTACATTCCAAGCCCGAAAGGTCAATCAGTTGAACCCAATTCTATCACGCGAGAAGCTGGATACAGATTTTGAACCTTTCGTTATCTGTCATTTAGTCTTATTACCGCTCAGCAACATCATTTATACATTTATCACCGTATTCTTAAATTGTTATGCATATTTGAACTGAAGAGGAACGAAGAAAGAGAATGATAGACAAAATTGAATTATCATGGCCTACACATCTTCCTTTGTTCTTACCCAAATATTATAATGGTTACTGGTGATTAAATCAAGAGTATTAATTCGCCTGTATGGCAAATCACAGAAAACGTCTCAGATTTTGCGTGGTGTTAGGTTTAAGAAGCTGAATTTCCCTTGACTTTAATGGCTTGGCTTTTTCCGTTTAGTAACTCATGCTTAATAAAAGTTTTATCGTTTATGTGCGACACTATTTTAAATTCTAAATCACTTTAACATAAGATAATTTTTTTGATGGTGCAATCTCAAATGAACAAGTTATATAGCGTCAACTGGGGAGGAAAATTGTGAAAGATGAATCTGAAAAGACGTAGTAGGCAAGCCGTACTGTCCCAGTATTTGGCTGAAGGGAATGAGAACATTCGGTCAGAAGAGACAGTTTCGGGGCTGAAATTCGAAACTCGAAACGGAGACGGGCACCACATCGAGCGCTACGACACAGTTTTCAGTAACTTCACTGTAAGTTGACATGTGCCTAAGACAACTCGGAGAAACATGGAGCCTTAATCTTGATGGTCGGCAAAAATTTCGATACATACAAGAAGTCTTGGCAACTCAGAAGGCCAAAATCCACATTTCCTATGTCGTGAAAATTCTGAATACAAAGAATATAACAAGAATATAAGTTAAATATTTTAAATAACAAAGCTCGAGTCACAAGATCAACTAAACTGTGTGAACAATCGTCGTTAAACTATAATATCCTATCATCTCTCTGCGTAACGTTTACAATGTCGACAAGTTAAAATAATCATATGGTTGGGTGATTACGGATTTAGCTGTGCGCGGGATGTGAATAGCTTCGTACACCCATTGGATAGATAGGTGATTGATTACATGGACCACACTCACTAAGACATGGCGGCAAAACCTCTCCGTACCGGAAACTAAAGCCGGACTGTCCAGCCCATAACATGTTACTTTACTGAACGAGCTACTACATCTGAACTTCTCCTTAATGTGTACTGTATACAAATGCAAGTTATTTATCAAGTTTGATTACCACAAATAAACATACACCTTTACGGTAATCTCAGGAGTAAACACACGTGTCTCTCACTGTTACTTGTTTTGTATTCTGCCAAGTGTGAATGACAGGTCCCGCTACGCACAGACTCACGTCTGCACAGATGTCACGTCACAACTTTGCGGGCACTTGGGGAAGCAGCAACTTTTGACATGGCGATGAAGGTACGTAAATGCAACTTCAGAGTTTAACCTAATACTTGTCAACTGTGAAAAATCAGTCAATAATTTCCATGCATTTCTACCACCATAAATTTCCAAAATCTGATAGTTATGACACACAAGTTTCATCCCACCTGTCTAGGTCCAATGCTTCATAAGACATTGCTAACAAAATGAAGGCAACGCAGATTCCGAACGATAACCATGCATATTTATATGCAAGAAAAGCATACTTAACAAAATGTCCATGTTATTCGAATACAGCCCAGGAGAGGGTTCGGTGGTTAATTCTGTGATGAACCTTAGGGTTCCGTAACCCATCTAGTTAGTTAGTTATTCGAATACACATGTCTAGATAAAATTTCAGTCGTACTTTTAATGTGTAGTGTCGCTTCAATCTGGGACGTGAAAATCAGTCCTTTAGTTAAATAATATGAAGTAGAAATTTGCTCAAGCTCGCGCACGCGCACACACATACGACAGACATGTTGAAACGACAAGTAATTTTTTCCCTATGAAACAAAGAAATTATGTGGATTATGTGTCGTTACCCACCAGACAAGGCGCAACATCCCGCAAGACAACCATTTTTATAATATCGTCCAAAAATCTGGCGCTGTGAAGAAAAGAGCTAAGAAATATATCAGGTGTAATTATTTAAGTAAATGTTCAAAATGTAATTCGCTGTACTTGCTTTCGTCACAGGTACTAATTGTGCTGCTGGCGAGTCACTGCGTCCCAGCGGCCGAAATTGCATCTCTGATGGCCCCCAACTACGCCAAAGTGTTTCGAACGGGAAGTATCACCAGTACCAAGTGAGTTATACATGAACCGCTGACGAATTTCAAATAAATCTCGTGTGTGAAGTTTACTAAAAGATACAAAGGCATTTTATTTTGGTCCGTATCAGTACCGAGTTTTTAGGGGAAAAACCTCAAATTTCTAAAACAAAATACTCATATAAAATGTTTCACGCTGTAAATTATAATGTGCAATCATGAAATATTAGCCGGTCATACACCTTTAAGAATCATGAAACAATCTGAAGCCAATTCCTGTTGAATGTAAAACACATTTATTGTCGAAATCGAAAATTAAGATAACAGCTTACAATGTGAAAAATAATACAGACAAATTGAAAATATATTTACAAATGTTATGTGTAGTGTTCCCATTTAAAATTAAAACATGGCGATGATAATTATGCCTTTCAATAACCATTCTGTGGTAGTTTATTCTAGCAGAAATTGTGAACATAAAACATCATTAGTTTCTTCAATCAAATCTTTTAATTGCGATTCTGCCACATTCTTTACGAACAGGAAATCATATAAAGGCACAAGGTCTTTTTTGAACTTCGTGTACTATTTTAATGTTGTGAAAAAGTACAACAACACTTTCCTGGTTTGTCTGTTTCAGAACTGACACAGAAAACGGTGATAAAGAGCACGATCATCGTCAAGTACCGCACTCAGTTTTAACAACAGAGGCCAGCGACTTCTACAACGTATACTACCCTGTGATGGAAGCCCAGACTGTCACGGACAGCAACGGTAAAGCCTCTAGAAATACTGGCCACATGTATTGTTCCTTTAACTATTTGTAATTCTTTACGAGCTACTGAGATTATAATACCTCAGCATATAGTTCAACGGCTGTCTGTAAACTATCTTGTGATGCTTCAAGAAGGAACTTATTTTATATGTATTCGTCAGCTGAGTAATCACGTTTCACATTGTTTGGCTACTTTCAGACACCCAGACTGTACTTCAGCCACCTTCTGCGGTAAATCCATTAATCGGTTCCGGGTCTTCAGTCAACGTCCTGCGACTCAATCCTTTAGCGTCTTTCATAAATGCGTTCTTCAGGCAACCAATGTATGCAACCAAAAACAGCGAGGAGAAAACAGAGTCATCTCTGGTCGAACAATCAGCTTCTGACGATCCGTCGAGCCAGCCTGACACAACAAAACTTCCCTCTGCTTTAAACCAGCCTGTGTATTCATATGAACCGAGTTCTTATGATGCTGGATCTCAACGTCTTTATTCCAGTGGTCAGACCGAAGAATATCCGAATGAAGAATACGTAGACCCGAAGGAGGAAAAGCAAAATGTGTATTATGTAAATTCACAACAATATCCTCTGCCAGTTAATAAAATTTTCCCTCCTCTGAAAGATTTTTACCAATCTACATCAGAAGATCCCTACGAGCTAAAAGATTCGTTCCAATCTTCAAGATCTGAAAATTTCTACGAGCTAGGTCAATCATATCAACCTGTAACAGCAGCAGATTTCCATGAACTGGGGGAATATTACAATCATTCTATAGTAGAAATTTCCCAAACACCGAGAGAACCTCACCAACATACAACAATAGAAAATCCCTACAAGTTATTCAAAGAACGCTACCAGATTTTCCCATCAGAAGACGAAGATGATAAACAAGGAGGTTCAAAATTGAATGATCCCTACAGTTACGACTCATTTAAAAGTAAAATACCGCCAAACGAGGGCAGCGGTCCCTACATTCAAAAGGCTGCATCGTCCTCACATAAACACCAACATGCAACCGGCCGAGAGAAGAACCCGTACACGTATTTCTACGTGGGACGCAAACTGTGGTACGTGCCGCTCTTTTTCAGCGTCTACTTCATGTTTTATGTACTTGCTCTGGTTGTAAAATCAATCTCTAGGCACAAAATTGTTTTTCCTGTAACTCAATGGAGTAAAAACAAAAAGAGGGACTTGAACGCTGGACAAGAGCGACTTGGTAACATTACACATCAAATTACGACTGCTTTAGAAACTACAGAACGTTTATATATGTAAATTATTTTGAATATTGAATCGTTTGTAATAAACTTTAAAATATTGTTCCTTATTTAAGGAGTGTTTTAAGAAGTGCTTAATCCGAACGCATATCTATATAATTAAGGAGATTTTACTGACCATTTGAAGCCTAACGAGAGAGAGAGAGAGATGTTGTGCGGAGTCGTAAACTACACTACATTTAACTGGAAGGGGATAATTTACGACTATAACGGTTCACAGGCAGTACCCGTTCGTCCTTTTGGTAACGGTATACTGAGGAGAAGGTAACGGTATGTTTAAGATATGGTAACGCGTTCGGAAGTGGAGAAAGTAGAGATAAGAGGTGGAGGAAGGAGGGAAGTTGAGCAGTACCATACTATATTTGAACACAAATTCGAATTCTGATATTAAACTTGGAAGTACAGCATTTGGTGAAATTCTGTTAACATTAACGTCCCACCCCTCGAAGGTTTATATCAAAATATATTGTGTATGAATACAATATGACACTGTTGAACTTGTACCAAGCTAATCTTAATAATTGGAATTCAGTCCATACCGCAAAGAAAACACAAGGTATCAATGTGACCAGAATCCAGGCTTACAACCATATGGAGCAGGTCAGCGCAGACGTAGTGTGCGACTCGCATTTAGGACGCGTCCTGTTCGATTTCCCCAAGCGTTAAACAGGCCACGACATTATGTAAGCTGTACGTTAATTCAGATTTGTAAATACGTCTGAATAAGTAAACAGCGATCATAGCATGTCTGCATAAGTATGGTAAAATTCAAATAGCACAAAGCATGTCAACCTCTCCGAAGCTAAAATTTTTTTAACCGTGTTATTAAAAGTACTGTATTCAGTACTTACAAATACAGTTAATTAAATTGATCTTACTCTCCGCTGACAGTACCCGAACATTTATTGTCGCTAAATAACAAAGCCAATTACTGGACACGAGTTAAGCAAGTTCCAACCCGCTCGAGAAGACACATTTTAATATTAACCTGCATTTTCGATGTTCGTCTTATTGGGCGTTGTCCAAAAGTCATCACCAAGAAGTGTACGCATGTTCTGTTTCCTCTTAATCGAGATATATTACAAAAAAATTCCTCGTTAAGTAACGTTCTCTATTCTACGCACAGGTCCGCATATTTTATAAAAACCCATACAAAACAGCGCTGGTGACAGCTCCTGGCTGTTGTTAGTGTCCACATAATTGAATTAACAGTTATCAGCCTGTGTGTCCATGACGGGCTGGGGAGGGGGGTCACCTGGCAACCCGCTATGCACAATAGCCCAGATCTGTCACCTGGAACAGTAGTGAAGTGTCCTTACGACAAACAACAGAACTCGCCGTTAGCCAGCCATGTGTCGAAAGGTAAGATCACATCATGGGATAAGGATAATGAATGGCTGAGTGTAATGTTTGACACAAATAAGAGAAAGTTATTTTACTTTAAAGAAAGTGACAATGTTTTACTTTAAAATCTGTTCCGCTGTTCCATAGCTTAAGGGGTTAGACATCGATTTTAATCGCGGAGGCCCAGGTTCAATGTCGATAGTAAATATGAGATTCAGCTTGTGCAAAATGGAACTGGAGTACCTTTTGTGTCACTATTTCAATTTTATTCTGCCAGTCATCATTCTACACTTCTACCACATCGGCTGCGTGTCTTGCGTTTGCCGACTAAACATCGTTAGCAAAATAAGATAGACGTCCTTACACCAAAAAATTGCAACTGGGTGTGTACGCTAAATGAACTAAAGGTCGAGAACAGTATGCGCTTTCTCCAGTGACGGCTCGTGCCATATTTTGCGTTCTTTGCGCAATATGCCCAAAAATAACGCATAGAGGGCTGGCCATGTCCGCCTGAACACATTATTCAACTCCAAAACCTCTGGACGGATTTGGATTAAATTTATTACAATTTATTAGAATCAGTAGTACCAACATGGAGGACGGACAAATTTGTGACGTAAAATCTACACTAGCGCTACTTACAATAGGGTCATGTAATAATATACGGTTGTAGATTGTCGAAAGACGGTCATTCTTCGCACAACGTTAAAACAATAACACGGCGGATGCTTGAAAAAACTGGTACCCTATGCGAAAGAAACTTGGAAATAAGAACGGGAGGAACTTTCACATCTTTCAAGGAATATTATTTTTGCTGAAACTCTACAATCTCAATTTATTTTAAAATAAATTGTCACACAAGATTAGTCAAAGCTGGCCTTTAATTATATGTATGTACATGAATGAGGATTTATGGTACCCTTCTAAAGCATCTCTGGTACCCCAAGGGATACCGGTACCATAGTTTGAGAACCGCTGTCCTGTTTCATGATTTTGCAAATGTCCACAGGTTCTGGCTGTGCTATTGGCCAGCCATGTCTTTCTGATACGTCCGGCCAGTCAGCTTTCGGTCACAGGCAGCAATGTGGACATGAACCACTCTTGCACTAACTCCAGGTACAGACGCTTATCTTATGATTGTTCTAAATTGTGCATCAAAGTGGGGGTAATATTAATGGTAATGGTATGACTTGTGGTTCAAGATATGCTCGATTGAATCTCACACAGCGTATGTACTTCACGTCTACGATAAGAACGTTTCTTTCAGAAATCTAACGCAAAGGCCATTCCTATGGCGTCAGATAATATTGCATTAAACGTTGAATTTGAATGACGTGGGAGTTCCGGTGGTCTGAATTTACGTTGAGAGGGTGAGAGAAAATTCGAAAATCACGTAGTAACTGTTTGAATGTAGGAAGAGGAATCTCCCAGAAACGAAATAGGAGTGTTTACAACATAAACTCCATATTCTATATAGTAATAAATGTGTTAAAACATTTTAACATCAGACGCATAAATGTGAGGCATTCTCAGTAACTGTGAAAAGCCAACAGGCAGCTACAACATTACGGCTTAATACTGCTAAGTATATTACTCCAATCAGAATGCATTGTTTCAAAACGAGTTCTTTGTGATTCTCCACTTGTCATTGGACGTGATAATTAAACGATTTACATTCATAATAACGGCATACGAGTATAATCAACAGTAAAGATAGTACACTATACGGATCAGTGATATGTGGTGGCAGCATTCAGTTTATATAACATTTTGAAGTCTACCTAAACTTTATAAAAATGATGTGAAGGAGCTGTTCGCATTGGACATACAAAAACATTGCTGCGTTTATTTAGAATACTCAAAACACAAATCTTAATATTAAAACCAAAAGATGACATCTTGTTATTTCTTACTTTCTTTATATTGATCATGAAAACATCTGGTAGCCATGTTCAGTTTTATACATTTCCACAAGAACGTTTTAACACAGATACGTGTACAAGGAGCTTCAATCACTGGACGTGTAAAAACATTTAATTCTAATTCTTTACACGACGAGCCGTTTCTGAGGAATATAATATTATTTTATCTGAGTTTTATGTAAAGTATACATTATTTTCGACAATTTCAGACCGAGAACAAACACGTTTGGCAAATTCTAATGCTGTAAACTAGTACGGTATCAAATTTATTCGAAATTAAATGTCTGGATGATGCATGCAAACTGACAGAAGTAAACTTCTCATGTTTATTGGAGCAACCTGACAGCATTGTGCATGTGTTGCAGGGCCAAGCTATGCGCCAAGAGCAGTCACACTACGTCCTCTGCTGCTGACACTGTCACTGGAAGTGAAGGTAAATGGTATCAGAATCCAGAGATTTACAAAAACATAGCCCTAAGTATATCTTTATTCCAGATCTAGAAGAGGTTGAATGCGAGTATGTTGATCGATACTTGAGAAGTGAACTACTTATTGAGGTTTGAATTTCTTACGGCAGTGAAGAAGTCGATTCGGATATTCTGGGTGGTAATTTTGGTAACCATGTACTTTTTATGCTGGGTATCAAAATGCAGGGTCCGGCACAAAAGACAGCTATTATCATTTTGAATTAGGTTGTTTCATTCTGAAAGTTTAAAAAAAAAGACAAAATTGCATATAACAGAATTTTTAAAAAATAATTTTGTTATATAACTTATAAGTTTTGAAAAAATAATGCAGTAAATGCCCCCCCCCCCCCTACGCAGTAAAGAACTTTTGGGTTAGCGCTCAGTCCATGTAGAAATTGTGGTGGACGAAGTGGCACAAGAACAAGTTTTTCTTCTGTCAGCATCATCCCACCGATGCTCCACATTCACTCATTTATCGTTTGGGGGATGAACAATGGGTCCGTTTAGCGGCATCAGTTCCATAAAAACACGAAATCCTTTCCTCGCTACTCACAATCCACGTCCCTCTTACGCGTTTTTAGCAAGGAGCTTAAGAAAATGTGAAAATAAAAAAAATATTCTATTTGCAGGAAATCGTGGACAGGGCAGGAGTTTTATGGGATCTGCGAAGAGACCGGTATACCCAGACGGAAGAAGAATCTACAGGCCTTCAGCTGTCCATCGCCCATCTTACCCCCAGCAGATCCGACGGTATCCAGCGTACAGAGCACAAGATAGGTTCCAACCAAGTGAGGTGGGCTACAGACCGAAGAGGCCAAGTTCACAACCCGAACCACAACCACCAAGTTCTGCTTCGTCATTTATGCAAGGCACAGGAAGCAAACCGAGTCAACCCTTGGTCGCAGACCAACCTGACAAACCACAAACTAATTCTCCAGCAGATTCCTATATGCCTATGTCAAATTCTGAGCCCTCTGACGGGTCTGACATATCCCCTCCCGGGATGTACGTGGGAGAAGTGCAAGAAACATCGCCCAAAGTACCGGCCATGGACCAGACAGCTCCCCCTAGTGAATCGTCTGAAGATTCGTACTTCCCTTCCCCACCAAAATATCCCCATCACCACGGTGATTTACATGACTATGTATATGTCGATTACGATCCTACTTTACACGAACACAAACCACACGAACACCATCATATGTATTATGACAATTCTTACTATCATGCACCTCAATTAAACAACACATACCAACTTCCACCAGAAAATAACACTTACCAGCCCATGCAAAGTATGGAAGAAAACAGGAATAAAAAGCCGTACACATATTACTACATAGGTCGAAAACTGTGGTACATCCCTCTATATTTCAGCGTATACTTCATCGTTTATATAACTTCACTACTCGTGAAATCCATTGCAAGACATAAGATCAGATTCCCCGCCAGTTACTGGGCGGGGGGCTATGCAAGAGCTCTAGGCAACGAGCTCAACAAGAAACGACTTGAAATGATCACAGGATATATCACAAAAGCTCTGGAAAAATTTGGAAAGCGTTACGAATGAGCACTGTAATTTCGTGGCTGGAGTATTAACTTCATGACCTCTAACACCACAGCACACAATAAAAGACACTCTTCAAATTCCCGGGCGGAATCAAACCCCCTGATCCCAGATTTTGAAAGCTTCGGACTCGCGGCCATTGGGGAACACATTCTTGACTCTACAAACGGAAAATAACTAGTGACTGCGAACGTAAGAAGCCATCAGTCTTTAAATATTGGTCTCCAGTCCTCTGCAAACCGCGGAACCAACATCAGGAAGCAGCATCAGACAAAAGAAGTTTAATCTTTAAAGCACAAGGCTCATCTAAATAATATTTAATAATTCAGTCCGTATCTCAAAGAAAACATAAGCCGTCTCCATTACAATTATCTAATGTTAATGCTGTTTATGTAAATAATGGCATTTTATTCTTAGAATTGTATGAATCGTTGAATGTTAATGTACGTGGTGTACATAGGCACCACTAGATTTTAAATAGTCAAATTAAATGCAGAACTTGGCGTCTTACAATAACCACAGACAATCATCGAAAAATTGTCTGTTAACATTCACTAGAACAACAATTACATAATAAAACTTTGTTTAAAACATTTTAATATCACATTTATTTCTGTTCCTAAAGGAATGTTGAAAAGTGTATTATGTCTCCTAAAGGTTTCGTTGATTCAATGCGAAAGTCGTTCTAACGTGGCGACAAACGAGGCCGTGGAGTCCCGAGTAATGGCGGAATAACCATAACATCTGGTGCGAAGACAATGCCACTACGAAAATTGAGTTTACGTTATACTTTCGTTTCAGGTTCTTGTTCCAAGCGTTGTACATAATTCTCGAAGCTGACTTAAAGCCAGCTAATCAATAACCTAATTAGTCGCACGACAAAACTGAACAGTTGAAATATTGATGCCCAAACTAGTTGTATAACTGATTATGTTTTATATTTAAACATCAACACCTGATAACGAGATTCGTTATTAGGCGAGTTTCGAGAAAGATATCTTAAGCCATTCAACATATCCGTCCATGTGTCATCAAGTAACAGCTACCAAACTGTGGGACTAATTTTGATTCAACTCGGTACGGTAGGTCTACGCAGAATATCGACAACTTATTTGTATTTTCTCTGGTTTGCTTATTTTAAGGGCACTTTATCTGAGGCCTACTTGAAGGTTAGCACGTATATTTCGAGCATGTTAAACATTTTTATCTTTCCTATTTAAATGTCACGTGTAGGCTAATCTTTTGAGTGTTCCGACCGATTGTGATGAAACTAGATACCCTATGCAGAATTTGTCATTTGAGCGTCACCATGTGTTTTAATGAAGTTATTGCATTTGAACGTCCGCATAACATAAGATCTTTAAGGCAATATCCTACGTAAGCGATCAGAAGCTAACTGCATAAGCTGCACGGGCGGTCGGACGAAGCGAGGGAATCGTTTGTTTTGTCCTGCGTGGGAGAACGCGTTCAATATAACGTGATCTGCTGTGACGGCAGGACGACGTTGATCCTTTATTTGCGTTGAGTGCTTGTATATTAAGTACGACAGGTTCTAAGAAACGCATTCAGCCCCCTGTATTCGACAATCCCTTCTAAAGTGTCTTAATATGATTATCCACACAAATAAATGCCAAAAATACAGCCTAACTGTACGGCCGATACAAATAATGAATCAGAATAGAATATGGCCAACGAAAGTAAACACAGTAATTTAAAATTAAGCAATGACCGCTTCATTCTATAGCTTTTTCCAGTTCATTATTCACTAATCACCCATATTTAGACGCTGAGTCTGTGCTACTGACATCGCCATTAAGTAACAAAGAAACAAGAAACCCAACAAACTCTTACGAAATTCTGTCCGTATGTTACATATGTAGCACTCAACAAGTAAGTGCCTTGTGATAGCAATGTAATGGCAACTCATGCCATAAAATGAAACAATAAAGAATTGTTTATCATGCAGTCCGTCTTACAAGACAAAATTAGTAATTAAACATCAACTTAATAACGAACAAGATTCAAGACATTCTTCCTTGGGTTATTTTATCTTATTTACATTTAATTATTTATTTATATATTTGGAGGATTTGTGGTTTTCGCCACCTATCGGCCTCATTCATAACACACAAACGGGCAATAAAATTCCCTACAGCAACACGAGTTCGCCTAGTATGTATGCAACAAGAAAGTCATTGCAATGAATGTAATTAAGAAATAAGAAAGTAAATTCTAACATGTTTGCAGTTATGAAAAGCACACATACTTGGCAATATGAGCCGGGATAGCTCAGTCAGTATAGTGACTAGCTGCGGGCTGGACGGCCGGGGTTCGATCCCCGACGGGGGCAGAGGATTTTTCCTCTAGCCTCTGTGTCCAGACCGGCTCTGGGGCCCACCCAGCCTCCTCTACAATGGGTACCGGGGTCCTATCCCGGGGGTAAAGCCGGCCGAGGCGTGATGCTGACCACTCACCCCCATCTAGTGCCGGGGTCAAGGAAGAGAGGAGCTATACCTCCACTCACCCCAAACGCCTACATGGCGTATAATGGGACAAACTTTACTTTACACATACTTGGAAATAGACTAATTCTCTCCTGCATTACTGTTTATTCAGCTGTTTCACGGTGCCGGAGGACACGTGTCATCTAATATTAAATTGTAGGTTGAATGAGTAGAAGAGAGCAAGCCTCAACAGACAAATCCAGATCACTTTCTCACCATTCACTTGTAAAGCATGACAACCCGTGAATCGGTTGCGACACACACTGGCCGCTGGTTTGTCGGTGGGTTACTTGAGAGCGCTATATCAACTGCAGTCGTTTCCGGTAAGGCTGATTTTTGGCCCCGGGTGACAAGGCGGGCGGTATGATTTGCAACCACTAACTGTTAAGTCAGAACTGTGACTCGTCCATTAACCGCGGCGACCAATCAAACGCCACACCGTTACACGCGTAGCCATAACAACACACAATGACCCAGACGGACAAATGAGTTGGACTTGATGTTAATTTAATGATGAAATAGTATATACTTGCAAAAGCGGCACGCTGTTTGCTTGTTTATTTAAGTATATATTACTGCATGCCCAAGTCACTTCGGGAAGAATACGGAAGGAGTCATGGCCTATTTAAAGTACTATCCCTGCCTTTCACTGGAGGACTGAGGAAAATTTATAACTTCCGTCAGAATAACAGCTATTCCGACAATCTGGGACCTCCCGAATACGAAGCAACAATGCTTAATAGTTCAATTCTACTGCGCCTATAATTGAAATTTACCGACGTTTCAGAGGTCCTTGCTGCCATAGCAAGGACCTCTGCAACGTCAGAAAACTTCTACCACACTACACGGCGCCACAGCCCAGAAGACAGCTATCTTCGTTAAAAGCGATATTTTACATGGAATTACATCCTTTATACATGCCACGTCAAGTTAGTTCCTTTAATAATTCTCTATTTCGTAACAATCTGTCCATACCCA